CCAACCTACCGAACTGGTCGTGCTTGTGAACGAAACGACCGAAAATTCGGCTCACGTGCCCCCCAAAGCCTGTCCCCGGCATCAGGTCTGTGAGTGGACATTTTGCCCCGAGGCATGAGCGAAAGTCTCGAGGCCGCAAAACCATTTTCCTGGTTGATTGACTTCTGATTGAGGCTTGCCGCCGCGTATTGTTGAGGAGACCGGTATTTTCTCATTCCCCAGTGGCGTCATGGAGGGGAAAACTGCCCTCATTGGTGACTTCAATCAGACTGCGTGCGGACGCCAATTTTGACGGAAGGGTGGGATGATGCTTGAGAGAAGAATTAAGCATGCCAGGAACTGTATAAACTGCTATATTCTCCGACGCCGGGTTCTTGTGCGAAAATATACTATCCGCATTTTCGTGTCGCTCGCTCAACCTTGGCCGTTGGCCCACGCTCGCAACCTGTTTCAAATAGATCCACCAGGTGCATTTGAATTTGGGCCTGCATTGCGTAGTACACATTCTGAGGGGCGGCTACAACTGGAGGGGTGCTGGATTTACCGATTCTGGCAAAGTTTCCGTCACTAGTCAGCCACAATACAAGGAGGCAGGGGCTGGGAATGTGGGGCATGGAGGGTGACCTAGCCTTAGCATGTCATGGACGGCAACTCAAATCTATGATACCTCGACTGGCATCGGAAAATGTACACTACGTAGGATCTAACACGAACCGATGCTGCCTGCGTAGGACAGAATGAAAATTCATTGTATTTCATACTAAAGCCTAGATTATAGTATTCTCGACAGGCAGCATAAAGACAGACGCAGAGCTCTCAGAGTTTCTGGGGTCGAGAAAAGGCCAGCTAGCGGAAAGAAGGTAGAAGGGTCGAGCCCAGTCTCCTGGTTCAGTCTTGCCGAAAGAATCTTTCTGAAATCTAAAGTGAGATCGTCTTTATTACAAATCGATTGTTCAATTACATGCCACTTTGCGCAGTTACGTAGACTGGGGTAGCGTCGGCCCATACCTATTGTTGTCTGGGGGACATCATCCGGTGGATGGACGTGGATTTGTGCAACGAACGGGTCAATAATTGACACTGAAATGTCGTTTGCGGATTGGCCTGCTGGCAGGGGGCACTATGGTTGTCTCTTTGCACCCTGAAGTTGCGATCTGAATACTTCGCAGATGCTCAGACGATGAGGAAAAATCGATCATGAGGAAGACTTACTGAGGGAGAAAAGATTAACTATAATGTCCGTTTCTCATACTAATTCCTTTTGTTGGTCGATCCTATCCCAAAGGCGTCAATAAGACACCCCATCTTTGTCGACAACAGCTCTGATTAGACAAATGAATATTGTGGGATCGATCTGAATGACTCCAAATATGCCTCTGTTGCAGTTGCACTGACAGCTGTTACTAATCGTGAGAGCGATCCACCTCCCCTTCAGAAAAAACTGCTGAGTTCTTTGACCAGTAATCAAAATCCACGAGCCCAATTTCCGCGGACGAATCCGCATGTTATGTCATCTCATCAAGTCAGAAGGGTCACCCGGTTTCTTCAGTAATCACACTTATCCGCATCTTGTCCGGTAAAGGCGCCCATGTTTTGTCTGACCCACCCCTCCCGAAGAAGAAGAAGAAGAAGAAGATGATGATGATGATGATGATGATGATGATGATGATGATGATGATGATGATGACGATGATGATGATGATGATGATGATGATGATGATGATGATGATGATGATGATGATGATGATGACGATGATGATGATGATGATGATGATGACGATGACGATGATGATGAAGAACGCCCATAGACGGTAGAATGGCAAGCGAAGTGAAAATGTGCCAATAAATGGTACCATGTCATGACACTGACCACCGGGGTTAGAAAGGGGAAACCAATATCATGAAAACGTTTAGCCTCTCTGCATCATTCACCAGCGACTTGAAAGGGGATAATTCGCGGATTTCTAAAAGTGCCTGTGCTCCACATGCTAGTAGACTTGCCTCATGAAGGCCACTAAAACAGAAGGCGAAGGTGTTATGCCCACAAGCCCTACTGGCCTTCTGGACTTCGGGTTATGTTGCAAGCAGTTTCGCTTAGATGAAGTTTACAAAGGACTCCAGCCGCAGGAATGCAACTATCATTTTGATAAACTGCTACTGGAAAGTGAAAATAAACTTTCAAGGGGAAATACGTTCAGACACACCTTTCTGGAGATCGAAACGCCCCCTCTGAGTTTTCCCCAGCCAGACGTTCAGCAAATAAAACAACTTATGGCTGATGTAATATAAAACATTACGTGACCTCACAGCCCGAGATAATGACGCTTTTAAGGAAACAAATAATCATAGAGAATCAAGAGAATTCCGATTCAGAGAAAGTACACAACAAGTAGTTATTAAATTTTAAGAGCAAGTGCAAATTCGGATTTTGATTATAAATGCATAGAAGCAGCCAGACTTTCTAAAACCACTCTCTAAGTACCCAACTATACAACATGCCCTCACGGGGAAACCTTCTAGGGCTGGCAGAATGTTTAGTAGGCACAAACTAATGAGCGTTGTTTTTTGAAAGCCTAAATAAATCTGAGGGCAGTCTATAACACTGTCATAATTGTGTACCTTTTTCGAAAACTGAAATTTACTCGTTCTTTAAGGAGAAAACTCGAATAAGACGTACATTTATATGAAGTAATAACAAAAATGAGAGTATGGTGCATCGATTCTCTAACATATGAAAGAATCCCTACAGGTATCTAATATCATTTGACAAAAAAACAATTTTAAGTGATTACGCCTTCTGTACAAACGGCATGAAAGGGCGCTCATTTGAAAGCTCGTATGTCGACCTACAAGAACTGGCATTGGGGTTACTGTCTCTTATAACAGGTATTGCAACTCTGCCTCAGTCCACTAGTAAATTCTTTCAAAAGATCCGACCAATGCTTCATATCCCGATGGCAGACTAATAGCAATTCTGTCATAACTTTTTCTAAGGATGGGGCATTGGCAAAGTTACCGTAGGCGAATTCATAAATTCCTTTACTACCGAATCTAGCCAGACCAACTTCTCACAAACTGAACGGGCTTTGGCTTTATGCTTCTAGTAATAAAACTAAATTCTGGGTCTTGAAATTATGCTAGGCACCAATTGAGAATTCATTTGGAGCATTCCAAGCCATTTAATATTTTCCCTCTACCCCGCAACTTCAGGAAACATTTAAAATTCGGCTTATACTACTGGCGGCGTGGCTGACTGCAGGTCCTCAAATTTTAGTTCTTTGAAGGGCTGGAAAGTCACCGTCCAGATTTTGAAAGTTTTCTACAATCTGTAGCATTCACCGTCAGTGAAACTTAGTCAAAAGACCTTTGAATAGGTAAATTTCCCGCACTGCCTAAAAGCACTCTGTCCACCCAATGGCATAAAGGGGGTGCCTGTTTTTTTATAAGTAGGTGGAAAGCAACCGGTGTTTCACTCATTGATTGAAGGCGTGTCCCTGTCGAAATGTCGTCAGTACATTTGGCGTCTTCTACTTTTCTGCTAACCTCCAGATTTCAGGTGTCAGTCTATACTGCTAAAATGAAACCTTTATCTCGAGCTTCCGCATTGGAGGGTATCTGAAGCTCGTATATCTGCACTGGGACAGTTCCCTCTGCCAATCCTCCTTCCAGTGTCATGACTTATTCAGGCCGGAAGGGCCTGTTGGGATGTCCATGCCCCCGGGGTCACAGTTGTACGTAAGCCGAATGTCAACTGCTTCGCAGAAACGCCAATGCACGCACACACGCGCAGGCCTGCCCCAAGCGGGTTGACCCACTGGTCGCATAAACCACGTGGGAAATTTGGATTTCTGCTCCTTTTCCTCCTCCTCGTAGTGAGTGGTCGTCCCTTTAAAGCCTACACTGCAATCGTGAATTTTTGATGCGAAGAGGCGGCGGCAACGTTGATGTCATACACGATCATGGGGAGGCTCGTTATCATGAAGGTAAGCCGGTAAGGAAAGAGCTGCTACGAACTACCGCAGCCCCGATTGCACAGACATGCATAAATATGCGCGAAGGAAAGTGAGCGAAGAATTTTTAATCACCCCAGAGAGTATTGCCCCCCCCCGCCCCCGGCTCCCCATCTCTTCCTCACCCCCGCTCCTTGCGGACGCTCGCCTCCTGCGTCCGCTACTCGTCAACCCAACTGCTTCCTCTCCCTCGCCCTGCCTTCAAATTGTCTCACTGATCCTGTGCGTCAAGAGCCGCCATCACAGCCATCATTGGGCGCAAGACTCCGGCGCGCACGCATATGATCTTGAACGTTGACAACGGGTATGCTACATAAGTTTGGGCTTTTTCTCCGGTGTGGTCTCAAACTTCAACGCCCTTCAGTTGCTCTTGTAAGACCACCTTTGTCAGTACACAGTAGGACATTTCGTTTGTACCCGCGAAACCCCAAGACGGAGACCAAAGTCACGACACGATTGGAGACATTTATCAGATGCTGCACGCCATCAGCAGCTGACATTGTACACTTTGAGGTCACGGTGGAGAGCGTTGTATTCTGAAAGCTGTCACCACACGACCTTACAAATGATTTATTCTCTGAATATTCTGTTGTTCAGTTTACCGTAATCATCGAAGTGTATAGGTGCTCAAATTAGGCCCCAAAATTTGCCGTCTAATTAGTATGACAGCCTAAGTAAATTAGCAGAGCTTACGGGAATGGAATGTAACATCAGTTAAGCAGAACTCCCCTTTGAGCATCGTTCAAATCACCCAAGCAATATCCGATCTGAAATAATGTACTGCTCGGACAGTGTATCTCTTTGTCACTGGTTTACAGTAGTTGTTAAGGATTGGCTAGTCTGTCTTAAAATAACTGGCAAAACATCGTCTTTTGTAGTTAGTTCGTTGCAAACCTACAATTAGATTAAGTTTGTATCCGGTAAATGAAGTGTTTCGGCTTACGAATTTATTGATATCGAGATTTTTAAGACGCTTGATTCAGGGACTGAGTATTTGCGTATCATAAAAATCAGTGGAATTCTAACGTTGCATGTGTTCAATATATATTTCAGAACTTTTGTATTTAGTATAGTCTTCAAAAAATTAGAGGACGTATAGGGGCGACTTCAGGCAGAATTCATGCTGTATAAATTGAGAACTTTGAGAATAATCGAAAACAAACTATTCTTCAAAATCCATAGAAATTTCGGAGCTTTATTAAAAACGAGACAGTCGGTATTTTCAAGCAGTTGAGCTACGTAAGTCTTACCTTCGTACAAATTGACTACGGAAAGGTAATTTTGCTCGTTATTTAGAGTCAAATCTAAATGACTAGAAAAAATAGACAAGAAAAAACTAACCGAATAACATTTTTCAGATTAAGCCATCGGAATAAGCCGGAAGGGTTACTAATGGAAAAAGTTATGCGCGATACAGCATGAATTAACACCTGGCTAGACTCCATACACAGTCAGACTGCAACCTCGCCAAAGGCCCATTTCCTTGAAATCTGCAGTTTTATATTTTATTCACGTTCTATGTTTTTAAGTGCCTAATATATGCCACAAATTGGACACAGAAACGGATAGGACAAATTAAACGGTACTGAAATATAGGTTATCACCTTTTATTTTACTGGCTACCCTTTTCAGCAGCAAAGTGCCGAAGACGAAACTTTATTTTAATTGCGCTGCGATTAGACTTGACGAAGTACAGGATATGAACCCAAGGCTTGTCCATGTTGCCAGGAGGCGAGTAACGCTGTCTGGCTACTGGAGACTACTCCAGCAACTGTGAATGAGCACTGACTTGTTAGTGTGTCCGAAAATGTGCGCAAAGTCGGGTTCGTCGGGCATGTTCTGGGTGGCGACTTCTCTAGATCACAACTACGAGTATTGGATAGGTAGTTGGCCCGTCAACGTGGGGGCATTTATCACTGAGTATGGTAGGAGCAGCTTTGCTTCTATTAATTCCAGCGAAGCCCTAGTTCATTCGAAAATCATCAACAAGAAGAAGCGTTTTCATGTCGTGATTTCTCATGTGCGACTTCGTCAGCCTGTAAAATTGTTCGCGAATATGAGTCGTCCGATTTATCAGTCTCAGTGCTTATTTTGAACTCAGTCCGCAATTCCAGCAATGCGATGCTTTAGTATGTGCTTTAGCTGGATACGTTTGCATAAATCTACCACCAGACGTCTGCATGCTTCAATTTAGTCTAAATTAAGACGCCCCTGCTTTATTATTGTTAGTGGCTTAGCACATGTTTGAGCCACTCTGGCATTAAGGCCGTGGAAAAAAATTGCCGCAAAGATCAGGGGGCTGGAATAGCCATTTCCGGCTTATTAGCCGTCATCAGCCGGCCATACCAAACCTCATGTTTTTGAACTCCCTGGAGCTCGAACCCCCGGCTAGTTACTTAGAAGTCCAACACTCTAACCACTGAGCCACGGGCTCATTGTTCTGTCAGTTTCGTGCATCAGGAATCCCAAAAGCCTGGAGTCGGTTATGTCTGGATGATGACGGCTAATAAGTCAGAAGTGGCCGTTCCAGTCTCTCTTGTCCCTGTCCATTTCTTCATATAATGCTAGTCGTTATGCGACTCCTGGCGGGACTCTGGATCGAGCTTCAAAAACAATAAGGGGTAAGTGAGCACCGTACCGATCGGTGAGCGCCTACCTACCATTATTGATGTTGTTCCTCCCTTCACAGAGAAAAATGATCCTCGTCAGGCGATATTATGAGGGATGGTTTGCGTTGATTGTGGTCGACCCCGACATCTTTGCTAATGATTACTATACTGTCTTCGAACTGCATGGTT